ATAAAATAATAAGTAAAAGATGTAATAAATAAATTAAAGATGAGAGAGAATATATCAGGATAAAATTAAAAAAACTTCATTAAATACTTAGACAAAAACCAATGTTATCTTATAAAAAAACCAACATTTTAAAAAAAATTTAGCTTATATTTTGAACCGGAGGGAGTTTTTTTTTTTTTGTTCAAACGTATCCTTCTATAAAAGATAATCCTATTCGGGGCACTTTTCAAACACTAAATGTGGACACTTCTCCTGATGAAGATTCGAACATTGGTTCATTACGTCGTAAGAGGTTAGCTTCTTTCACTAAACTCAAGTCCCATTGGCTATTTATTTATTTTTGGTTTAGGAGTATTTTATGCCAATGGTGAAAACTGATATTTTTTGAGATAGGAGGAGCAAATATATATATATATATATATATATTCAAAGTTTACAACTTTACATCAAGCGAATCCACCTTTGAGCAAATTTACGTTGCATGTTAAAGTTGCAATTATTAGCAGTCATTGAAGGCTGATTTCGAGGGTATGAAAGAAGAGGAAAGGTGAAAAACTGCTCTATTTTTCCCCGGGGGGGAGAGAAAGAGAGAAGAGCACTATTATGAATCAAATTCCAAATATTTTTTTTTGCCTTCAAAATTCCAAATATTTAATGCAACTAATTTTGCCTTCATTGATGGCATCCACGTTGCATGGTGTTAAAATATATAATAAATGAGAGGGAAAAAATCATTTAGTGCAACTGCCACTAATAAGTAAGACGATCATTAACACCACGGTTAGAAAGTAGAAGAAGCTCAATAATCCAGAGATTTGACTCAGATTTGAGGCCGTAAAGAAATGGAAGAAATATTAGCCACAAAGTAGTTGAGCCATACCTGTGTACTCCTCCGGTCCTTATTATAAGACCCTATTTGGCTTTTTATTTGGTCCTAATTATAAGACCTCAATCCATTTTGTCTCTTATATTTATGCATTTTTTTCTAAGATAATCCTTCTAATAATGATAGTTTTAGCCAATATACTTAATTAGCAAGGATATTTTAGGAATGACAACACTTATTTATTATAAATAACCAACTTAACTTACTTCCTTAATCTCCTCAAATAAGTCAATTGGGTCTTATAATTAGGACCGGAGGAGTATATCTTTATGCCCACGTCATGTTAAATAGAGAAATTGACATGAGTATAATATTTTATATTTAATAAATAATATTTTAAATTTAAATCTTATGAATTTAGAAGAAAAAAAATTCCAATGGGGATGCAACACCATTCACATTTAAATTAATATTATTTTTCACAGGGCTGTAAAAAAAAAAAATTCAAATGAAGTGAGAACTGAGAAGTCCCTCCCACGTCTTTTCTAGAAACTGTAAAGCTAATCATATGTGAAGGCGAGTGAAAGAAAGAGACAATATAAAACGGAAGAGTTGTCAATGAATAAATCATTATGGAATCATAATTAAGTGGTCCGCTTATAACGAACCTACTCTTCCTGGTGTGGCCCAGATAGGCACCGAAGTGGATTTGTAATCACTTCACCAGTTAGATAAGAAAAGCGGTCACCATCTCTTCATTTGTCACTTTTACGAACCGACCCATTCTCTAGTTTAATGGAGGATGCAATTGTTCTGGTAGAATCCACGGTTCTTAGTCTCCGAGCCTTAACCAAGCTCAAAGGCTGTTGGAGTACATATCCATGTGTTTGGTTTCCTAGTACCTATATTTTTCAGCTTTCCAGTACAATGATTTTTTCGGAATCAAGGGAAAGAACTCTAAACTTGAAATATAGCAAAACTTGTTTTACAACTAAGCCCCACTTCAGAACAAAAAATTTCATGGCACTCGTGCATTCAAAAACTTTAACACATACAGGCTAAGTTTAATCTTTGGAAGCTTACGCAAAAACATCCATATATTTTACAGCATCCCCTCAAGTGGAAAACTTAAATTTAGCATCTTTAGACCGCATAGAAGGGACTTTAATTTAACTTAACTTATTAGTGGGGAAAGGAAGCAGCAAAAGCAAATGCTTTTTGAATCCCTGAGCAGATTCCTGTCTGTAACATTAGAAGTGCCAACAGACCGTAGAGAGAAATGCCCCAAGACTACGAGAGCTGCTTCCACATAGCTGGTCGATCTCTTGATATGAGGAGTACACGAGAGCCCAGATAATCAAAGGAAGGCCAATATAAGTCATCTGGCCCAATGACTTGGTTGACCATCTGAGTATTAGTGGAATCCATATCGAAAGCCCGCAATGGCTCATCTTTTAATGCATCAAACACAAATAGCCCAAGCCCACAGACGCCCATCACAAAGTTAGAGTTTCCCCAAACCTGTGTGATTGCAGAGTGGTGAGGATGTGCATTGGATTCTGGCATAGCATAGCTGTTGAAGAGCCCTTGTTTACGCAATGAGAATTGTTGCACCATCGATGAGGACTGCTTCTTGCCAATGGAACTTGAAGTTGAGCAACCAAGAAAGATTGAGTCTCCACGTGAGAAAACTGACTGAATGTTCACCCCATGTTTTGATATCCGAAGACCCACACCAGATGGCTGGCGGAAGTCCAAGACGTTGACAGCGTCTGAAGTGCAGAACACACCATCGTTTCCTTCAGCTTCTGATGAGCTCGCCCTGATATTATGTGGAAGGAATAAAGCGACTATGTCATGAACAGTTTGATTGAAGATAATATCAAAACAACAGGAACGAAATATTAGGAGGCAAACAAATTAAGTAGTTGAGGTACAATTAAAACCAAGACGCAGACAATTTCATTGCAGAGTGACAATAGTATAAATGCCAATATATGAACGAATAGAGGGGCTTTCACAAACAATTTCATTCAAGATAACACTAGGACAATATGAACAAAATGCCAACGGGCAAAAAAGTGACCAAGAGATGCTGAGACAAATCAAAAGGTAAGAATGTTAAAGGTTCAAACTCACCTTTGCCGAACCCCTCCACCCAGCTCTGCATCTGTATTACTCACATGTAGAGCAGAAATTTTTTGCCCAGATACAGGAATAGACAGCAGGGCTTGAGGACTAAGTGAATTCACATCCCACAAAGAAATTGTTTCTGCTTCGGTTATCACAACTTTCCCTCTGTTTCTCCACTGCAAAGGACTGGAATAGTCCATTGCAAGAACAGGTTTCTGAACCTCCCATTTCATGACTTGTTCTCCATCACGAATATCAAAGACTTTTACAGCTCTCTGAGAGGTCGCAGTAGAGATAATCAGAGGTCCACAAGGTCTATACCACCATTGCCTGGTTTCAGTGGCCAAACTGCCGGCTCCAGAATTTCTTTGCACAATGTTATTGGACAAGGGTCGAAGAGCTGTCCTAGAGGCGGCTGTTCCGAACTCTAGTTGGAAAGCGCGGAGATCCTTGGTGTAAAAATCCCAAGAGCAAAATCCTGAATCCATAGTATTGCCAGCAGATGCAGCAACTACAAACCTTCCTGAGCAACCGTCGGAACCAGGAGCACGAATTATCCAACAGTCTCTCCACGTGTTAGGTGAAACTCCAGATGGTGGCATATATGAAGCCTTTTCCTGCAAAGATAGTGAACTGTGAGCAGGCACAATGTTTGTTTAAGGTTACAGAAAGAATACGAATCTATAAGCATAATTCGTTACGAAAATGTAATCAAAGATGCAATTGGTTTCAGGAAAAATATGAATATCATATAGGGAAATTTGATCATTTATTTATTTGATCGTTTAATTTAATGAAGAATATGGAGCAACAAAATCAACTAACTGAAATATGAATTACCAGTATTTCCTTAGAACGGAGAACGGCTGGCAAATATAAAGCAACTAAAGAAGGAAACTTTTTTGAACCCGATTACGGAGCATGCATAGCATGGGGCATAGTGCTTACATTTAATGACTAATGACGTGTATAATCTGTAACGGCTTACATACCTCTCGATTCGCGATATCATAATATGAACACGAACCATCATCGTGAGCAATGAGGACAGCCTCCCCTTCAGACACAAACCATCCTCCTACGGCTGTCTTATTTCCTATATCATTCAGCGAATAAATGAAATCATCTTCTGTCTCTTCATCAATATATAGCCCTTGCGTGTTTTCTTGATCATCAAACTCTTCAAGCTTCTCATCAGTTGTGAGAAGTAGCTCAACATCACACTTCTGATTGAAGGCAGATGAGGAGTCTTTTGTTTTAGCAGGTGCACCAGCGCCTGTTTCTTTAACTCCACAATACTTCATATCAGCTTCTCCATCTCTTGATTTGACATTACCTGCCTCTTTATTAAGGTTAGACAAGAACTCTTGTGCTATCTTGCTCTCCTCAATAGGGCTCAGCTCCTTTTCTTCCACCTTTGCTCCAATATCATCTTGCTTTTCCCTGAATTCATTGCTCCGAAAGTTTTCCAATGATGCTTTATTCGACGTTCGATTCTGAAGTAACTTGCGATGAGGAAATAATCTAGCTTCCAATTCCTCACTGTTCAATTCTTTGGCCCCGCGTTTACCCTTGTCAACTTGCTTATTTTGACTATCAATAACCATATTGGGTTCTTTGTTATCATTTGCATTGCTTTTCAAGAACCCTATTTTAGCATTTGAATCACCAGCTACGTGATCTATTGCCTTCTCAATACCCGAAATTTTGTCTTGGATGTCTGAAAGTATGATCTTTGATTGATCAGGGTTATTCAAATCCAGCATCTCCTTAGTCCTCCTAATATCGGACGCTATTCTCTTGACCTTCCCCTCTAAGAAAGCAAGCTTTTCATGAAGTCTGCTGGGATATTTACATGTAACCCCACTACTGGAACAATCACCCCCCGACTCCTTCTCTTTTGGAATGTCCAAAACCTTAGCCTCACCATCAGAATTTCCAACAACCTCGGTAGAAGATGAATTTATGTCATTGCCAGTCTCTTCTAAATCAGAACACTGCCCTGGATGCCCACCCATACCAATATCGGTCGGATTTTTGACTCAGATTCAGAATGGACCTTCTCACGGTATATCTGCAGATCTCCCCTGTCATGACTTGCACTTGATTTCACAAAAGATTTATTATTTTCACTTTCTCCGACTTTGTTTTCCATTACTCCGCCATTTCTACTCTTAATCCCTGAATTCAAAATCTTTGTTGCACTTTCCTCAGTATGCCCTCGAAATTTTGCTTTACTACCAACCTGCGCGCTTCCTTTGACGCTCAAATCTCTATACCCTTTTGCCTGATTAGAAACTCTCAGACCCCTACTCCCACTGAAAGCAGAACGGTCAGGTTCTGCGACCGACCCCTTAACGACCCGATCCACTGAAACCCGCCTATCTTTTCGGGTATCCGAAAACACCCTGGTAAAGTCAGAAGGGCTAGAGCTCCTACCTCGAGGGACCGACGACGTGGACTTCCTGTCACGACTGTCACTGCCGCTTCCTACCCCTACCAGCGATGCCTTATCGACGCGGGGCATGGGTCGAATAGTAGGTCTCTGGGTCGGGGCCGCGGCGGCTCCACGGGACGTGGATCTCCGATTCTCTTTCTCTGCAGACAATTTACGGAGAGCATTGGCGCTGGGGATTTTGTCGGAGCTTGAAGCAGGGGTTAGAGATCTGGAAGGTCGGTGAGCGGTAACTTTGACGGCGGAGGCGCCGCCGTCGCCTCCGTCTCGGTCTTTCATCCGGCGAGTGGATGAAGTGGACATGGGAAGTTGAGGTAAAAGTAAGAATCAAATTACTATGGGAGAGATTTCTGTGGCAAACAGGAAGAAGAAAGTGGCAGATTTTCTCAGAAGAGGAGGGAATGACGAAACCCGAAAATTGAAAGGGATTCCCTACGCAACTTTGATGTAGGCGGGAAGTGATTGAAATTTTGAGTTTTGAAAAATTGGGAGCTGGATCGGAGGGGGAGAAAAAAAAAAAAAAAAAAAAAGGGGGAAACTGAGCAAAATAAATAAAAATGAGAGCTTGCGAGGTTGAGAGGCTTCTTAAAAATAATTGTTGGAATAAAAATTTATCTTCACTTGAGTCAAAATATTTTTTTAAATTACCTAAATGCCAACGCCCCTTTAATTGAGATAATGAGAGAGAATAAACTGAGAAAGAGCGAGAGAGAAATTAATAATTATTTGACACTTTTTAAAATTCAACATTACGCGCTCATAAACACTGAAAATCATAAATAAGCTACTAATAACAATCTCTCCAGTCATGTGATTAAAAGGGTATTTGGATGGCAACCAAACCATGGTTTCACAAGTGTTTTTACAGTTTACGAAGTAAATATATAGAGGATTTTACCTCGTTTTACGAAAAAATACTTCTAAGAAACACTTTTTGCAATTGGCAAACACCCCTTAAATCTTGTTTTTCAGTCACAAGTGGGATGGCCCAACAGCCATGTCAAACAGGTCAAAAATTATAGATCGAGCTTATGGCACTAATAGGCTCTTTTTGGCTCCACAAACGCCGAGACAAATGGACTCTAATAGCCTATATTCACGTGTTTAGTGCATATAATATATTACTTTCAATTCAATTTTTAATATAAAAATTAGTTTGATATTTGATTTAGTTTTAAATATAATATTTTAATTTACTTTATCCTTTTTATATTTACCTACTCCTCCAATTCTTAATACAAAACCTATTTAACTAATTTAATTATGTTAAAGAAATTAGGTAAGTTAATTATAAAAAATATGACACGTTTTTTCTAAAATACCATAATCATCTTTCTTAATACCTCCTCTTTCTCTTCTAATTGGTTATGGTTGATGAAAAATCCACAAAGGATAATTTAGAAAAAAGTGATAAATAATGGAAATGGGTCTTATATTTAAGATCAAAACCGATTCAACAATTGAGTCATATATTAAGGACCGAAAGAGTATTTTTTAAGGTAGTCTTTGTAATAGTTATACATGTTTAATTTTAACTAATATACATAATTAATAAGGATATTTTAAATAAGATAATATCTATTTATTACAAATAATTAAATTAATTAATTTTATTAATCTACTCAAATTAGTCACATATCTCTAATATTAAAGATCGTATGTAGTATGGGTTAATATATTGTAAATTTCTTTTTTTTTTTATCAGAAAAATATATTGTAAATTTCTTGAAGTTGTATAATTTAATGAGACAGATGCGACGTTATGCCTGATTAGATTTTGATGTATTGAATTGATTTCTCTAATTATTAAAAGAAAATCCCCGCCAACCGTCCAAACTCTTGTAGGGGCCGCTGAGATATCCATGGTCACGCGGATAACATGTATGCATTCATAGTCCATTCGAGCCAAGATAAGCGTAAGGAAGATGATTGAAAATAGTTTCAAGTGACAAAGGCTACTCAAAATTAGTCTGGCTTACAGGTCAAACTCAAGTTTAGGTCTATTTTTATAAGCATAATTCAGGATCAGGGTGTAATTTTAATAATAAAATTTTACACTAAGAGTATCTGGTACCATTTAGTTTTGAAAGATGCAAAACTATACATAAACTATGTTTGATACAATGGTAAAAAAATAACTTATAAGTGGGATAAGCCAGTTTACATGTTTAGAAACTGTTTGGTTGAACTTTGAACCAATCTAACTTATGAGTAAAAAGCTTTTTTTTTTAAAGCATGATTGTAAAAGTGCATAAAACTTATTTATGACTTATGCAAAAGTAGCCTTTTAAAATAAAAAATATTTTTACCATCATGTTTACGTTGTTCTTATGCTTCTATCTACATATTTCTTGTGATTTACAATTGGTTTTAAATTATTTATTTTTAATATTCTCTTAAGTAAAATTAATTTTTACAATATTTTTAATTTTTAATATTATTTTTTATTTTATATTTATATAAATTGTGCATAGCATATCATTCAATTAATTATATAATATTATTTGGTTAAAAAATTTTACATTACTATGATTTCTAATTTAAATATAGTTTATTTATTAAATATAACTTCTTCCTATTATAATAATTTAAAATTATTATATTTTATAAATTCATATTTTTTAATTATTTTTAACTATTTAATAAAAGTTATATATATTTTGGTCATTTTATAAACTAAACTTATTTATTTAATCATCATCCAAATAACTTTTTTACTTTACAAACTTATAAAATTCAATCTATATATAAATCATATTATATAATCTAATTTTTATCCAATTTTAATTTTTTTAAAATTATATTAAAAATGGGTTTTATTTTTTTTACCACTAATTCAAATGCATGATAATTATTTTAGGAGCAAATTTCCCACAACGGTTGAGAAGGCTACACTGGCGTTACTATTAGAGCAAATTACAAATAAAAACCCCTAATATATAAAATTATGATTAGGAACTCTGAATTTGGAAAATAGCAAATAAGGATCGGGTCTCACTTTTATAAATATGAAATGTTGGTGAAATGTCTAAAATACCCCTTAGTCAAATTATGATTTGATCTACTGAAATTATTACTCGCTAAAATGAACTTGTCATTTCACATAGTCAATTCATCATTTAGCAAACCCTTAATCAAGTTGTGATTTGATCTACTAAAGTTGTCATTTGTTAAAATGAACTTGTCATTTCTCATAGTCAACTTGTCATTGAGCTGAAGGGTATTTCAGACATTTCAATATGATTTCATATTTGCAAAAATAAGATCGGGTCCTTACTTACTATTTTCTAAATTTAGGGTCTTAAATCATAATTTTATATTTTGGGAGTCATTATTTGCAATGTTCCCTTACTATTATCCTCGTGGGTCCCGCTTGATGTCCCCTCATTTATACTCTCCAATGAAAATCCTTTAACGCCCTTTTTGTGGGTCCCAAACATTTTCCTCGTTTCCTCTCTTTGACCGACCTTCCCTGCATTGCTAGCTTTATGGCACCTTGAAACACCTTCTTCTACCCTTGTTCGTCCCCAGAAGAATCCTGTGACTCATCAGCCGATTCCCTTCGCGTAATGGATTAGCCATGAAGCAACCATTAAGTATACTCCAATTCCCTTTATGTCTTCATGCCTATAAAGTCTTATGGTACAAAATGGCTCTATCTTTGAAATTTTCCTCACTAGTGATACTAATCTCTGGTTCTATCGGAGAAAACAGGGGAGGACAGAGACAATCAATTAGAGCTCAAATGCCACCGCATTGTGCTCTGAAATCTCACTCTAACATCTTGTGGTCATGCCGAAGATGATTTGCACGCCGCAACTGGCTCTCAAGGTCGAGATCTTCATCTCCTCTGCGTTGGTTTCACATTGACGCTATCATATTCATCTCAGCACCTGAAGGATGAATTTAGAAACATTTTGGAACGATTGGGACCAACGGCCTAACTCCAGAAACTATAAGAACCTATCTCAAAGCTCAAATGCAAATTATGGGTTGGTGAGATTGAAAAACTATCGTAATAAGGTACAAAGCTTAGATACCCAAAAACACATCAAGTTCATTATTTGATAACATTTGCATTTTAGATCTTGAAGCTTGGATGGATTATAACAATACAATAATCAAAATATATGCGTATATGTAATATAATGTAAAATACAAAATGCTGCCCCTTTCATATCAAGATTTTTTTTTCCTTCTCCCAAGGAATGAATTAATGCAGGTCACGGTACAGATGACAAGAAAATGAAAATCAGTGTTCATAAGCATGGAATCCAAAGCACGACTCCTTAGTTTAAGACAACCAGAATTAAATGGATCCTGACAAGTTATAGAATACAAGTTAGACAGAATGTAGCCGAGAAGTTCCATGAACAATTAAGAATATGCTATGTATCACTCAAACTCAACTGCTATAAGAAATATACTGAACTAAATAGTAGTCTTACTCGGTCCTCCATTTCGAAACTAACCCGCTTTCAGATGGAGCGACGGGAACAACTCTCGGGCAAAGAACTCGAACCTATCGGCCTTCTCCCCTCGCCATCAGAAATGAAGTTTGGCTCTTGCTGGGTAGAGAAGAGGTAGTGAAGCCAGACCGAGAACGACACTGTTTGAGTTAGACGCGATGAGGAAGAAGAAAGCGGGACATACATTAATGGAGAGAGATGGATGAGTGTGAGGATCGGGGGTAGAAAATAAGTGGCACGTGTCCCATATGCAGAGCAACACATGTTAGAAACCGACATTTTGAAGGATTGTGAGGCTGCCAAAAGAGTGGGGTTGCATTTTATTAACCCGTTATACTATGCTGCTTTTTTCTTTTGTGACTTAAAGGTATGGCTAAAGTGGAACGTCAGGAATAACCCAGCAAATAGAAGATTTTCCGGATGGTCGTGGAGCCGAATCTTTGGAACAATTTGCTGGGCGATTTGGAAAAATAAGAAAGCCTTTGGTGAGGAAGCTGCGAAACCAAGGGACCTGACCTTCATGATTCTAAATCACATAATGGAGGAAGTACAACATGAAAGATTTCATCATCAGATATACCAGATACCAAAGAGAAGTATCACACAACGCGAGCCCCCACCCCCTGATTATGTCAAAGTAGATGTGGATGGATCCGGATCAAGAGAAAGGACAACAACTTGCGGTGGTTTTATTAGTGACTCTCTCGGTCATCGGAAGGGAGTGTTTCAACAGAAATTGGGTGTTTTGTCCTCAACTACTGCAGGATTACATGCCATTCTGACAGGACTACAGCTCTGCAAACAGTTGGGATATAGCAAGGTGAGATTCTACACAGACTCGGCAGATG